TTTTCTACTCTTTTTTTTAGGAACCTTTCAATCTATTAATAGGATAGCATTGCACAAATATGGACAGAAATCCTTCACCCCCCTCAAGTGATTCAGAGGAAGAAGAAGTGGCTGCTGGAAATTCCATTGGAAATACAGTTTACAGCAAACACTGGCTGATTAGTGTGCTTGAAAAATTAATTGAGGTGCTCTGCATTATCTTCTCTGTGTGCACTTGTTATATGCTGAATGTGAAACAAATCTTTTCATAGAAGCGTGGCAAGCATAAGGCAGGTTATACATCAGAGTCAGTATCTTGGGAACAGGTGTTTAATAGCTAATTGGGAAATAGTTTAAATTATCACTCAAGCTTGCAGATATAGAAGATGTAATTTTATATTAATCAGAGTGTTAAAAATGATACACAAGGGTCTTATGTTAAAATTTGAACAAGGTCAGTCAAAAACATGAACAATTTTGTAATGGGAGAAACTGAATGGGAGTTAAATAATTACTAAAATATTCAGTTATTCTGTGATTAATTCAAGATGTATCAGAACAAAGAAAGACCACAGGGCAGATTCTAAATTAATTTATTGAATTAACAAAATACAGATAAAAGACAACCATTGTATGCAATTACTGTAGTGCTGACGTAGACATGTTGAACTATTAGGTGATTTCCTATTATGGCACTAATATTAATGTACATGTAAATTTTAAACGTTTCCACCCTGGGTTTATCAAGAGTGAATGTCAACACTCCAAAGATATGGTAGAGTTTGGGACTTTCCAGATAAGTTCTTCTTCCTAGCTTTGAACAAAGAGGGACAGAGTGGCAGAATATGTAAGCTAAGTACACAGTAACAAAGTGTCAGCATATCTTGGTTATTTGTAATCCTCAATTAGATTAATTTAATTGTATGGCACCATGAAAACTAATCTGTCATCGTAAAGGTGATAAATATCATTTGATTATCATCATTGGCCAATAGCTTGCCTGCACTCATGTCAGAAACACTGAGGCACTTCTAGGTTGAAAGGATGAGCTGGTGATCTCACCATTTGCTGTGAGACACCCAGGTGGGGTCTCCTTTCATATCCCCAGCAGGAGCTAAAGACAGGAGCTCAACTCTGCCCTACGGCAGCACTCGGCTCTTGAACATTGGCTTGCTAACCTCCATCCCAGCATGGTAACCACGTGAACCATCACACTCCTGGCCATTAGCTAAGAGTTATAGATGCATACATAGTTACATAGGTAGCTTTATATGTAAAATGTATAAAATGTAAAACAGCAAGATATCACATTGAAATTAAAAAGTCTTATCTTTTAATAACCTGGGTGGACTCTGGCTGCCATGAATAACATTCCCATAACTGCTACAGTAGTATAATTGCAGCATAAATATATTTGTTATGCTTTAGGTACAATAACTACTTAAGTCTACGGGTAGGTTTTTCAAAGTTGCTTTGTAATTTTATATTATGTGCTTTTATTTACTTTACAACTTTGTTAACTCTTAAAAGGATACTTCAAAACTGAACAATGAAGAAGAACAAATGGAACTAGATGAAGAGATGGAGAATGATATTTGCAAAGTATGGGACATGTCAATGGATAAGGTATTAGTTAAAACTACCTTCTGTAGGGTATTAAAATCATTTGGGAATAAAATTGACTATATATAGTATTAACTAGAAAGTACCCCTCAATCTTTTCAGGTACAATAATTTTTTGTAGGCTGTTTCCTCCTTCTATCATACGCCAAAACTCTATGAGCTTGTACTTTCTAATCTGCCTTTACTTGTTTCTCTTTGTAACTGCCTCCATACTTTCATTTGAAAACATATATTTTCTGTTTGTTTTTTGTTATGGTATTTCCAGCTTTCATATGCTTCTCTTAGAACAGAGATCCCCAACCTTTTGGGCACCAGGGACTAGTTATGTGGAGAGAGGTTTTTCCATGGACCAGAGGGTACGTGGTTTTGTGTGCTGCCTGCATCCCGCTGATGGGGCTTTGCTTGTTTGGGCGGATCAGTTGCTGCCATACTGCGGCCCGGTACTGGTCCATGGACCGGGAGTTGGGGACCCCTGCCTTAGAACCAAAAAGGCCATAGCTTTCACTGTTCTGAAATATCTTTTTCCATCATGATTTTGCCTTATGTTTGTCACTATCTTCCTGGTATTAGCTTTTTTATTTATTCAGCATCCTGCCTGTTTTCACTTTATCATTGTCAACTGCAAGTTCACCTAGCATGCAAGATGACGTTATCTTTGTCTTACTTAAGATATTTCATATTCCATTTTTAAGTTTCAAAAACAACTTTAAAAGTCTTTTTATTTGGTTAAGAAAATGTTACCCTCTGTGGATCTCAAATGGTCAGTCTCCAGTGTAGTTTTCAGCTGTAAGTTCTTCTAATTTTCCATTCTTGTAATATATTTGTAATAAAATTTGTGAAGAAGAATCAGTTTTGTTATGCCATTTCATCTGAACATGTTTCACCTTCTAAGAATCTACATGATATTTGGCTGTGGTCAATGAAATAAAATTTCTTCTTGTATGTTCATGCTTGGCATTGTCCATCTCAGTTTTTTTTGTCCCGTGGAAACCCACCTATTTATCTGGCATTTCTATATCTGGGTTGCTGTACTTTTCTTTGTAACATTTTAAGCAAAATTTTGCTTGTAAAAGACAGAGATTCTCAAAATATGGATCTCATTTTTCTTTTACACCTGATCAGGTTTCTATAGGCAGAGTTGGAACATGGTCAAATCTTTTTCTGTGCTTTGTTACTCATTTTACTTGTCCAAGTAGAATAATTAAGAATCTCTGTGATATACATCTTAAAACTTAATTATTAAAAGTGAGTGGTATTTTTAAGTTGTATATTTATTAGTTCCTCAACCTGACCCCTGTAAAAACTTATTCATAATTTTCTACCCAGATTTATTGTTATATGGGGTAGCAGTGGAAACTTTGGCATAGATTACGTTTATTAAAATCTATGTAAAGTTCCTCACATTGACCTTATTTTCTCTATGTTCTCCATATCTTATCTTAAATTAAGCACTGAAGAGTTTTGTAGATACACTTCTTCCAAAAGAAATAACCTGTCTCGTACTATCTGTTGACTAATATTTTGATCATCTGTTTATGATCAACTGGTCTTCTGAATAAATGAGAGAAAGAATGTATGTAATATCATCCATATTACTGTCTTAAGATCCTGTGTTACCAAGAACTATTCAGAGGAGATAACATCAATATAAGTTCAAACTTTTCTTTCAGTAAAAAAAAAAAAATTTGCAATGGTGCTAGCAGAAACGTTTTGCGGTATATGTAACTCCAAAATGATTTTTTAAAAATTATGCTACTCCTCACCAAATCAGCTTTGTTTCACTCTACATCAGTAATCCAAATTTCTTGCTTTTCAGGACGTTGCTTTATTTTTACAAGAGTTTAAAGCCCCTGACATATTTATGGTTTTTCTTGCAAAGTCCAAGTGTCCTCGACTTACTGTAAGTTCTGTTATGAATCTTTGTTTATTACTTATGTGTTGAGTTTGGGACAATAAAATTATGCAGTTGAATAAAGCGTAAACAGCAAATAAAAATACAGTGTTAAAAAGTAGGAGAAAGACATTAAATATAAGTAATCCTAGACTTACGACTACAATTGAGCCCAAAATTTGTGTTACTGAGCGAAATAGTTGTTAAGTGAGTTTTGTGCCACTTTATGACCTTTCTGTGAAGGGAATCACTGTAGTTGTTAAGTTAGTAGTGCAGTTGTTAAACAAATTTGGCTTGTCAAAAGGACGCAAGAGATGATCACACGACCCTGGGACACAGCAACATTCATAAGTATGAAGCAGTTGCCAAGCATCTGAATTTTGATCGCGTCACCATGGGGATGCTGCAACTGACAGGAGGAAAACTGTCATAAGTCACTTTTTTCAGTGCTGTTGCAACTTTGAATGGTCACTAAACAAACTGTTGTAAGTTGAGGACTAAATATTTCTGAGTTGTTAGTATCTCTTGTTATTAATCCATATACTTCTATGGTTTTCTAACTATTTTATCGTTGGTTATAGCAGTGTTTTTCAACATCAGCAGCTTTAAGATCTGTGGATTTAGCAACAGCATGAGAATTCTGGGACATTCACAGATCTTAATGTTACTCATCTTGAGAAACCGGACAGTTATTTTCTTTCTTCTTGTGCCATATCGTTATCGGACGTTGGCGATCCTGTTTTTATCAGCAGCCGCACGAAAAAGTGCTGCTGAGTTTTGTCCAAATAGAATCACAGAATTGTGTACAGGCAGTCCTTGACTTCTGTGCATGTAGTTAAGAAATGTTAACTGACATATCCTGATTGGCCATGACTTGGCATAACTAAGGTTTTGAATAAACTGGATATGACTTCCAAAATTATTGTTGTTTTTAACCATTTAGTTGTGTCCAACTCTTGACGACTTTATAGGCAAGTGCTCTCCATAATACCCTGTCCAACACAGCTTCTTTCAATTGTATGTTCAACTTAGCATCAGATTTAATGTTATCAAGCCAGCTTGTTCTATGCTTGTCCCCTCCTTCTTTGTCATATAATAAAAATGTAAACAATGGGAGAGTTTACATAAGGAATATCTAATAGAGGTGGAACCATATCACATTGTTACCAAGAGATTAATTGATTTGTTAGATTTATTGCACCTTTCGTTTAGGAGCTCGAGGCAATATATGCAGCACTTCCTCCCCTGCTTTTCCCCTATAAGATAATGCAGCTTGTAGAAAATGTCAATATATATACCCCAAAATGTCATATTGTGCAAAGGCTATCAGTACGAGAAATCTAATGCTTAATAAATATGTTATTAAACCTTATTAAAGTATCTGGCTATTTGCTGAGGGGAAAAAATGAGAGCATAGAGAATTAGATTTCTGCTTCAATTGATTCTGCATATATTGAAAACACACCTAAGCATATATATTTCCTTGATAATGTTTACCTTAATGTATATATAACTTTATGTTAACTTAATATATTTTGTATTGCAGGAAATCTGTGTAGGTATTCTGGGAAATATGGCCTGCTGCCAAGATATATGCATATCTGTTAGTAAAGATGAGAACCTGGGGTAAGTTTTTGTTTCATGATTTTCAGACTCCAGTTTTAGCTCCTGTTGCTACTAAAACACCATTTAGTACACACTGATTTTTAACAAAATGAAAAAAGAAATATACTTGATGTTAATGTTAGTAAGGTTAGTAATGTTTCTCAAGGAGGAAAATACAGGAAACTTAGTGTCCAAAAGTAAGAATAAAAAAGAATATTAGAAAAAAATGACTTTATACATATGTATTAGCAAACATTATCAAGGACAAGATTTTTTTTTGGGGCCTGGCTATATCTTTATTGCAATCTAATTTAACCAGTTGTTTAACTTTCATGTTCCTCCCCCCACTCTATCTCTTTTCTCACTTCCATTAATTCTTTGTTTATCCTTTCAGCTGTGAGAACTGCAGTAGCAGAGTCTTAATATAGTGTGAATAGAATCTTACTAAGGATAGCCTAAACCTTGGAGATGCCCAGATAAAATATTTGATTCCTCCTTTAAAACATAAAGCCTCCTATTGCAAGCATGTAATCAAATTGCCTTTTTTATTTCAAAAGAGCTATATAGTATGGATGCCAAGGATTGCTCTTCCAAAACTCATTGCTGGTAATAGAAGGCAATCAGATGTTAAATCTGTTATCTCCTAGCAGAGGTAGGTAACCTTGGCTCTTTTATGACACGTGGACTTCAACTCCCAGAATTCCTGAGTCAGCTATGCTGGCTCAGGAATTCTGGGAGTTGAAGTCCATGAGTCATAAAAGAGCCAAGGTTGCCTACCCCTGTCCTAGCCATTGTGTGTGTCTGTCATAACTTCGAACAATCGCTAAGAGAGGACTACCTATAGCAGGCATGTCAAACTCGCGATGTCATGTGACGTCACGCGACGTATCGCGACTTTCCCCCCATTGCCAGCAGTGGTGTGGGTGCGGTTTCATCATGACACATGCAGCCCGTGGGCCAGCAGTTTGACATGCCTGACCTATAGTAAACATTCTCCAATATTGCACTTGCACTTTATTTTGGCAACTCTAAATAGTAAGGATGAAAAGGCTCTAGGAAACATTGACAGATGTGTAATTTTTCCAGACAGATAGTGCTTCATCGTTTATGTGATTCTGATTCCCCAACTCTGCTTGAAACAAGCAGGTAAGTACGGCTTTTTTGTCTGTTGGTTTGTTTCTGAGGGATTAAAATTGCACTTAGCATAAGATACAGTGGTAAGCTAGAATGATAGAATTCTGACTTACCTGGAAATAGTCATGATGTTTGTATATACTGTACACAAACCTGTAGCTTGTATCCTTGTAGTTTGTAAATGCTAAATGGTTGTAGCTTCTCTTGCAGTCAAATGAATTTCTCTGATCTGGTCAACTCTGTATGGTTGTTGTATACAAATCAGGATTTCTGTTTAATTCATTCATTTTTTTTCCCGGATCAGAAACCAGGCATGCCTGCTTTGCTTGTAAAGATAAACCACTGATGGAATTATTGTTGCTTGATTATAATTATAAACGAGCCATAATTCTCATTTAGTATTAGGGGTAAGTGAGGCCATTTTCTAATGCTCTAATGTTCTAAAGTCTGAGTAAAAGTACCAGAATGTTTACTCAGTGCATTTTTATCTTTTTTTCTTACAACTGTTGTCTCCAAAAGCTGTTCATATCAGTTTTAAAACTGATTAAGCTGACAGTCCAAATAAGTGGAGGCCAAAAGGAGGACCAGTTTTTAAGACCATAAAGATGATGAGCAATATATACTGGCTTATATATTCCATTCAGCATAGGCTGATCTTCCTTTTCTAGAGGACTTCCTTAAAGTGGCTAATTTTGCTCTTTATCTTTTTGGGGAATACATAGAATTAGAATTATTATTCTGATAACAGGGACATTAGGATGCTTCTAATCCTTCCAAACCCTGGCAATTGTCATGGATATCTGCATATTTTGGCTGGCAAAAAGGCTGAAATAAGGAATCTAGTTGATCTCCCTTTTAGAATTTAGAACATTTAGAATTCTTTTGGCCAAGTGTGGTTGGACACACAGGAATTTGTTTACGATGCATAAACTCTCAGTGTACATACAAGTAATAGTGATAATCATGATCATATACAACATGAAAATACGTTCATCATAAGTCGTGAAATACAACACTTCATCATAAATCATAAGATGTAACACTTAGTGTGATAGTCATAGAGTACTAGCTAAGCAAACAACATAAATCATACTAGGGTACAAAAACAATATACCTATATAAATTGTAAGATACAAGCAGCAAAGTTATAGTCATAAGAAGATAAGGATAGGTAATAGGAAAGATGAGGAGTATCATAGTAATACAGCTTTACTAAATATTTTGACAGTGTTGTAGGAATTAGTTGTTAAGCAGAGTGACGGCATGGGGGAAAAACTGTCATAATAATAATAATAATAATAGTAGTAGTAGTAGTAGTAGTAGTAGTAGTAGTAGTAGTAGTAGTAGTAGTAAAGTTGGAAGGGACCTTGAAGGTCATCTAGTCCAACCCCCTGCTCAGGCAGGAAACCCTATACCATTTCGGACAAATGGCTGTCCAGTCTCTTCTTAAAAACTTCCAGTGTTGGAGCATTCACCGCT